TGTGTGTGTGTGTGTGTGTGTGTGTGTGTGTGTGTGTGTGTGTGTGTAGGTTTGAGAAGATGGCGGAGAGTTGTAAGAAGAGTCTGGAGGTGCTGAAGCTGGCTCAGTCCAGAGGTCTCCCTCCTCCTAAGCATCACTTTGAGGAGAGATCATTTCACACTGTCAGGTAGGTGTTGCACTGCAAAGATTCTCACCGGCTCGCATTCATTATTAGTTATAAAGGTTTGAAAAAATAGAAGCTTGCAGTGCAAGGGGTAGAGTCAAAGATGCCTTGTTTAGATATTTAAAATGTTTAAATATATACACTCCTTGGCCACGTTATTAAATTCACCTAAGCAATTTGAAGCATGTCTGACTTTAGTCGGTTTGTATTTACAGTGCATGCAATAAATCACACATCTATTTATCTTTCTTTTCATGCTTTCGTTCCTTCTTACTCTTCCTTTCAGGATATTTCCAGACCTGAGCAGCACCGACATGGTTGTTGTCATCGTCAAAGGGATGAACCTTCCTGCTCCTAGTGGTAAAAACCAAAACATTTATCAACCAGGCTTCATATACTGTACAGCAAGTCCACATGGCGTCTGCAAATACTGAAATAAATGCTTCTGAAAACACTTGAAAAGCAAATCTTGATTCAAATCTTATAGTAAGTCAACAGTTATTTTCATCATGTATTATAGTTTCAAGTGACACTAAAATAGACTTTTAGCTTTATGTCATTTTGGCCTTCTGTCGTTAACCAAAACCTTCTTGCAAAAGCTCGTACTGGTCGACGCTTTGTCGTAAACTTTCTCTTTCTCCTTCAGGAATTCAAACAAACGATCTGGATGCATACGTGAAGTTCGACTTCCCCTACCCCAGCGCGGTAAGAGACTCGCACTGCCGATCGTTTCTAGTTCTCATTCAAACAGGCGACTTCTCTCCTTAAAGTGTTTGGTGTCTGTGTTGTTGTCGACAGGAGCAGCCGCAGAAACACAAAACAGCTGTCATCAAGAACACAAACTCCCCAGGTGAGACATGAACAACATCGCTGTAGATGTGTGGGGCTCATATATTCGTATCGACGACGAGGATCTGCTGCGGTGATATTTAAATAAAAACAAAGATGCAAACAGATGTATATGGAGAATAACGATCAGGTTTATTGCCGAGTAGGTTTTCACATATTTCGTATATATCTCTCCGTGTGAAGTTTAATTTCATCTGTAATCTCTTTCAAACTAAGAATACAACCAGAGCTTCACTCTGTCGATCAATCGGAACCACCGCGGCTTCAGGAGGGTGGTGACGTCTAAAGGCCTCAAGCTGGAGCTGCTGCACAAAGGGTGAGTCACACACAGCTGCTCCCGCTGCAGGGAATCGACCTCACGCAGCTGCAGTTTGGTGATCCGCCGCAGCAGCTGGTTCGCTGTCACAGAACGTGATGTATTTCTCTGAATCTGTGGCTCAAATCTCAGGAGATGTGAAAGTTCACATCGTAATGATTATCACTATGTTGATATGTTACAAGATTTGCTTAAATTGCATACAAAAAAAAAAAGATGTTTGCAAAATCACATCAGCACGTCCCGTTGAAGTAGAGCTATTTATTTAACTCCGAAACGTTCTTTTACAGCAACATGTTTTGGTACAATTGAACTTTTCAGTGTTTATTTAGACATAAGAACCCTGAAATATTAATGTTACAAATGTTTAGCCCTTGCTGCAAGTGGATTTTTCTGCTTGAGTGGAAGGAGAGAATGTGAAAAACACAATAAGTGATACAATATTACAGCGGTGTGTCAGCCAGCTGTAAGGTAGTTTCCCACATTTTAGTTGAGGGACTAAAACATGTAATTTATGTGAGTAGCTAAAAAACAACAGCTGTGTGTTGTTCAGTGACGCCGTGTTTCGTCTCACAGCGGTTTCTTGCGGAGCGACAAGCCGATCGGGACGGCCCACCTAAAGCTGGAGAAGCTGGAGTCGCAGAGTGAAATCAGGGAGATCGTAGAGGTGAGTTAGATCGAAGACAACACGAGACAAAGCTGATCGAGAGGAGGAGCTCTACTTAGACGCTCGTGTCTCTGTTGTCAGGTGATGGACGGTCGTAAAGCCACAGGCGGTCGTGTTGAGGTTAAGATCCGGCTACGGGAGCCTCTGAGCGGACAGGACATGCAGAAGAGCACCGAGCGCTGGCTGGTGATCGACCCGTCACAGGTAACATGAGACAAACGCTGTTGATGCTGTTGTGTTTGCAGCAATGTCGTCTCAAAATACACACCTGAGATTGTGTCAAGAAAACCGTCTGATGTTGGTTCCTTTTATCTCAAAAGGTTCTCGTTTAGATGCTGCTGCAAGATCAAAGAGGATTCACAAGATAAAGGTAGTTGTCTTCCAGTGTTTTTGTCTGAATTGAATGAAAATGAAGTGACATGTTTGACATACCAAAGATTTTAATGCCTTTGGACAGAGCCAGACTAGCTGTTTCCAGTCTTTGTGCTAAGCTAAGACAAGCAGCTGCTGGCTGATCATCTAACTCTTGACATCAAGCCTTTTACTGTTCTCTTAAATGTAGGTGTCAGGATGCATTTGGGTGTATTTGATTCATCTGACTGATTTATCTTGCAGATTAAAGGCACTCAATCAGAATCACTTGGAGGAGGACGGTCTGTTCTTCAGTCTGACCTACGCGAGTCTGTGACTTAAAACTTTTGCACATTTGGGAGACACGAGAGCTCCTGTCACACTGCGGTCCACCAGGAGGAGACACGGTGCTGGTTTAGGGCCGGCCAGCGTCTGTCTGTCTGTCTGTCTGTCTGTCTATCTATCTCTATCTCTCTCTCTCTCTCTCACAGAATGTGTACATATTCCTCATATTATTACAGCTCTGGTATCTAGAACTGCACCTATGCACTAATACCAAAGTAATCACTGTTGCTGTAAAATCCTGCATATTTGAAATTTGCCTTTCAGCAGCCAAACCTGTTACGATGACGCCAGAGTTTAATGTGTGACGGGACCCCCCCCCCCCCCCCCCCGGACACATTTCATCTGGTTTTCAGTGTGAGAACAAAGGCAGACGCAGAAGCTCTGAGATGTTTTTATAGGAGTAAGCCAAGTAATGATGATGATGATGTACAAGATACGGTGATATGATTATGCTGAAGACCACACTCCCTTTTGTTTTTTGGCACCTTTGACTGCGGTCACTAAACTGCTCTCTCACTTATCTGTGGCTTTAGCTATGTTACATTTATATCTGTCTGTTTTACACGGAACAGGACACATCTGAGTTTGGCTCATCTTTAATTGTTCATGTCTGAAAAGCTAAATTAAGGAAAACACCCTTTATTACACATATATTATAAGATGGTGATATTTTTTTAAGTAAACATGATCGGATGACTAATCTTAGATAGTATCCTGTACATATTTTACTTAAAGGAATAGTTTTAATGCACTTGTAGAGTACATTAAAAGTACATTAGAGTACTTCTTGCAGAGAGTTGGATGAGAAACTCGATACCACTCATGTTCATGTGTTGAATATGAAGCTAGATCCGGAGGAGACGGCTCGTCTGGCTCTCAATACACATGTATATATACATAACTACACATCTAAAGCTCGCTATTTAACAAGAGTCCAGTAAGTGATTAAAGTTTGGACTCCGCCATGCTTCCAGTCTTTATAAGCTAATCACTTCCTGACTTGTTCCGTATTCAACACACGAACATGAGAGGTATCGATCTCAAACTCTTGTCAAAAGAGTGCATTCCCCAAAATGTGTAGAACTACTTTTTACTATGCAACAGCCTCTGAGTCTTGGGATGAGTCGTTTTGGTTTTTTTTTAAGGGCCAGTTCACCCAAATTACAGGAAGACTTTCTATTTTCTGATCTGCTGCAGTTTGAAAAATAACTGGAAGACGATGTTGGGATTGAAAGTAGATTTCTTTTTTTTTACCCTTAGACATAGTTTAAGGAAAAAAATGAACTTCCAATCTCAACTTTAATGGACAAAAAGTCTTTGAAGTGAACATCAACCGATGATTAGAAAAAGAGCTGAACAGCTGCTGGATGGACCTCACAGTGAGAACTGTTTGAGTGAACTGAGCCTTTACTGCAGCCGTGCAATAGATGATGTTCAGAAGCCATAACAAACCTACTGAGCCAACATTAATACCATTTTCCAACTGGTTGACCTCAAAACTGTCGACATTTAGTGAAACGACACTTGTCACAACATTTCAGTTTCTCCTTATAGAGAAAACATCATAGATCAATGCAACCTGAAGTTTACCATAAACATTGCCCTTAATAATGAAAACATATGGTTACCCATCATTTTATGTTGTTGAAACACTCGTTTACAGAGATCGATGCCGTTTGTATTTACAGAATGATAACCTCTAATAATAATCTGTAAAACAGAATCAAGGCTTCATTTTGGTTTTAATTCTGGATTCATTTGCCTGTCCCGCTTCAAAATATACCAATTCAAATGATCTTGTTTTGCATTGTAATGTATTTTTCTGTGAGTAAAAAAATAAAATCTGATTTTGCAATAAAACTTTTGAAGAACTTGAATAAAAAGGCAGAAACTACACACTCATTTTAATTTTCTATAAGTTTTTATTTTACATATACTACAGTTTTTCAATAAAGACCACTTTGACATTAAAGGAAAGAAGGCCAGGGTTTTTGGCTTTTCAAACTTTTTGACTGTTTATTAAAAAAAAAAGAATTATTGTAACAAAACCCAGACAACGACAGAACTGAATGAGTGGATCTTCTAAAGAGATAACTGTTCAAATGCAAAGTTGATTTGCCCTCTTCATCGATTGGAGCTGGTTTGCATGCAGTGTCATAGGTCCGGATCTAACATCTTACAACTGAAAGAAAAAAAAAAAAAAAAAAAATTGCTACTTTTTCAAACAAACAAATTGCACCTTTCTCGTTTGGATTTAGGACATATTGCACACGTCAGATAATGCCAAAATAAAACGTAACAGGAAGTCAGAAGATTAAAGCCTCACACCTCTTCATCAATGCTAGTTTATAAAAACAGAAGTGATGAACGTCACCCGGTGAAGACACAGTGATTGAGATACACCAGCTCTGGTAGGACCACAGTAATAAACCCGGAGCTGGTCACCTGTTGACCTCATTCGGTCCTTACCGATTTTAAAACGGCTTCACCGACAACACTTTGCTACAGTGGCTCCTAAAATACTTAAAGATTGAGTAACGAATACAGAACAGCTACAGGTCTAATTTAGAAGCGTCGGCTCGTCTGCAGGTTTTCGTGCGATTGTCTGATTTACAGTTGTGATGACGAGATTGATTTTCACGCGCTGTAGTAACAGCACACTCTTTGTGTGCAGCCCCTTCTGGTTTTACATTAGCATGATTAAAGATGGAGAATGATTACTGTACAGAGTATTTTTGACATGACAGGGTGGTTTTTGGTGATTAGTCTAGCCAGAAACAAAAACACACTTTTACAGATTTGAACAGAAACAGGAGTAATACATTCTTATCATTTCCAGGTCCATGTTGCTGAAGGAGACAGATGCACTAAAACAGTTCTGATCTACAGGGTTCCTCTGAGCAGTCTGGAGCAGGATGTTCATGATTTCAGGGCTTTGGAGGGACGATAAAGTTGCAGGAAATATGAGATGAAATACATTCAGCTTCAGGTCGATCAAACTCTCGTTTCTGCAGGAACCCCGGATCTTTACAAACACTGAACTTTTCTGCCGTTGGGAAAAAAAAAACAAAAAAACAAACAAAACATGAGTCTTCCAGGACACAGCGGCAACCCCGAAACTCTCTCTCACTCTCCTGTTGATGGCTTAGAATCCAGTGCACTGCTTCTGCAATTGAATACAGTTCTTATACATCTATTTATATATCTTTACATCTTCTACAGTTATCCTCTTTAATATAACTGATGTGGCTTTTTCAACATGAGTCGATTGATAAGATGGCAAAAAGGCTTTTTGTAATATTTCATGACGGTCGCTTCAGTAATGTCTTTATATGTGGGGTCTATGGAGGCTACAGACACAGAGTTAGCATGGAGGAGGAGTTACTACGCCTACAAAAATATGTACAGCAGGTTGATGGATTCATCCATCAACTAAAGCATCTGGTGATTGATGAGTAAAGCTAAATGTTCTTTTTTGTTCCGCTTGATGAATCGCTGCTGCAGGCACTGAGCACCATGGTGCAAAAAACCCCCCAAAAAACTACATCACCACAGTCCATCTCCCCATCTGATTGGACGATTTCCCTTTTAACGTCACTTTAGAGAAACGGTCCAGACTTCTCAGCGGTGAATATGAGTCCCTCTTGTTTAAGAGCATCTGTGCTACACAGAGGTCAGAGAGCTCCAGGACCCCCCCCGACTGCCACAGTTACATTGGAGTAACGGGTGAGCTACATACAACACCTATGAAAACTATTCATTCTCCCTGGAAGTTTTATCGTTTTACTACATTGAATCAAAGCAGAAGTGGCTTTTTTTTTTTGACACCGATCACTTGATCGCTTAACTATTCGCCTCCGCCGTTGACGGTTCCCTCTGTTGTACGAAGTCGTTTAGTTCTCGACCATTTTACTGTTCTCCTTTTCCCTGCATTTTTCAAACTAAAAAAACCAAAAACAGCTGATCAGGAAACCAAGTGAAACCACTAAGTTCAGTCAGAAGGACAATTTACAGGAACAATTCAGCATGAGTGTAATAATACAAAAAAACTTTCAGTTGAATAAAATCTATGTGCTGACAATCTCCTCACTTTTTTTCAAGAGGTTACCGCGGTGTGAAATTATTTAGATGTGTGATTTATATTCCTAATTCCTTAGACTTTGTAGAGACGCTCTTTCCACATCTAATCTACTTTGACTCAATGATGCACAGACAGTAAAACATGAAATACATTCCAGGGGGTTGTTTCTTTTTATAGGCACTGCAACGCCACACTGGGGTTGAACAGTGTGATGTCACTGGTGTTCAATTCCTGCTCGGAGCACCTCAAGTGAACACCAGAAGTACCTGTCAGGCGAGGTTCAGGTACACAGGACACACAGATGGTCCTGCTCGGAGCTCCGTCAGGCGGCCCCTGGAGCAGAGCAGATGGCGGTTGGATGCATAGGTTTGACTTGAGGAACGCTACACCCCCCGACCCCCCTCCCCGCCTGGCATGCCAACGTTTTTGTTTTTTTCCAGGCTTGAAGTGCAAACTGTTGAAGGGAGACGACGTCATAAAGTAAACGGTGTTCTTGGAGGTGTGAAGCTCCGAAGGACTCCTAGGAGATGATCTCCAGGATGTAGAAGACCAGCTCTATGACCACCGGGCCCTCGCTCAGCCGACACGCCCCGCTGTGGATGACGGGGATCAGAGCGCTGTCCAGGTCGCTCAGGTACTGCGGCAGGAGAGGCTGGCCGTTGCTTCCTGCCAGGTAACCCACCTGTGACAATGAGGACGCAAAGAACAGCGCATTTCAGAAGGCCGTTAAGAGCTACAGTCTTTCTAGATCGTGTGCTTGGCTCGATTATCATAATTGAAATAGTTGCATTTTGTGCCGATCGACTAATCGATGTACAAATTGTTTTTAGCACCAACGATTGCTGCTCTTGGATATTGTCCCTGTAGTTTTCTTACAGTCTGAATGAACGAGACGATAGCGTCTCTGTAACATCTGAACTGTCCCACCTGGTCAGAGTCCAGTGTGACCCTCAGTCCCAGTTTGGCCATGCCGTCCTCCTTCAGCAGCTTGAGGTGCGGACACAGCGCCATGCAGAAAGCTCTCGCCACGTTCTCCGTCAGCCGGCTGTGGTCGGCCGGGTCGCTCAGGACGTTGGGTTGATCTTCACTCTGGAGGAAGAACACCTGAGAAACAAACGGTAATATAAAACACACAAACACCCCTCCAACAAGACCAACAACAAAAATCACACTTTACTTTAAACCTGAATTGTTTGGTGAATAAAACCTCAACACAGTATTAACTTGTGTGGTGGCTTTATTTTCTTCCTGATACTCAGTGAAATGATGAGTTAGAGTGTAAACCGTGTACCTCTGTCCAGCGGATGACTTTGCCGTTGGCTTTGAACTCCGAGCCGTGGAAGATCTTGACGCTGATGATTGACTCCATAGACTTCCCATCAATGGGACTAATGACGCTAAATAAGAGACACACAAAACAACAGTGTTTCAGCATATGAGATAGTATGTCATGAAAATTAAAACAATAAATGTAGTGTTTTTGTCCGATGCCAATGTTCTTGTAACGTATTTAATAATCAATAAAAATTCAAAAGCATTGGTGTGAATGCTAAACTGTAAACAAGTCCTGGATTCAAATACATCATCATCATCAGAGGAGTCTTGTGATTGGTTCACTCGCTTCACGTTAAAGTGTCTTTCGTCAGATGGACATAACCAACCAGCTCGTCCCGTTTCATTCACAACACCTAGATTCATCATTCCTGATCCGGTGAACTACGGGTTAAAACAGCTGCTGTGCAGATAATATCCTGCCACTGAAGTGATAAAGTATCTGCTGAAAGGCCTCAATTATCTCTAATAGCGAAAAGTCACATTTAATTCGCAGATTTGATCAAGACTGATGTAAAATTGATTGCGTCGGTCTCCATCTCAAAGCCACGTCAAACCACATCATTCCACCTGGCTGAGATTCTCCTCCAGAGGGCTTCCCCGAGCATGCATAATGAGTTTTTATAGCCATGTAGTAAAAGCAGCGGTTGGGAGGCTATCAGTTCAATTGTCCGTGACATAAAAGCATCTCTTTCACCTCATCTGTTCACCAGGTCTAATCTGTTCCAGTCTCACAATCAGAATCGGGTTTAGTGCGAAAGTGAGAGTCGGATGCTTTGTTTACACAAGTACGCATCATCAGTCAAGAGCTTTTAGTAAGCTTCAACAACACACACAAAACAAGACAAGAGTTCTCCACTATTTGCGGCGCCATCTTTTCTTACCCCTTGTTGAAGTCGTGGTCGTCCTCCGTCCACTGGATGTGGACGAGCTCCTGGTTCTCCTCCTGGTCAGCTTTACCGCATGTGATGCTGAAGTCCTTCATGTCCCTCAGGGCTTGCCGTAGAGAGTCCATGGTCTCCGCCGTGATCTGGATCATCACACCGTCTAAAGGGTGGAGAAAAGACACGATGCATCATCTTGATTAGTGCTGAAACAGAATATTCATCTGTCAGCCGACTGACAGAACATTACTCAACATTTTCAATAAACAATTAATCGTTATAAAATAAAAAGGGGAAACCACTGCTGCACACGTTTCCCCCTTCTTTTTTTGTTTTAAAAGTCCATCGTTGGTGAGACCCAAAAACCTGATAGAAGCATATGACTGGAGAACCCTTTAAGTCACATTCACTGGTTTCAGCTTTTCAACGTGAGGATTTGCTGTCAATTTAACATCTTTGAGTTTTTGTAATGTATCCTTGAGCTTCAGGAAACTGAGGGGCTTAAATCATTATCATAAATAATCTTATGGACAACACAAAATTGAAAAATAACCAGGAGGATAACCGACAATCAAATAACTTAAATATGGAAACAATCTTCTATCACAGTACGTGTCATTTTGAATAGTGTATGTGTATTTATTGGGGGTATTCCAGTGTATGAAATATCTGGCAGATAAATGTGCCTCTGCACATTGATGCAAATGAATTAAAATGACAGAATAAGTTATTGGCATGGTTTGCAATATTTCCCAGAACAGCATAATGCAGCCAGAGAATAGCAAAACCTTTGACAGTTTGTAAGTTTATTTCTTCATATCTTAACAAGGGTCTTATTCTTTGTGTGTGTCGAGGCCTTTGTGAGGAAGCTTCATACAAATATTCTAGACCAATATTTCAGCATTTTTACAGCCAAGATGTCGTCCGTCACATTTCTCACCTTCCACAATGCTGGTTTTGGCCAAGAAGCCCGACGACGCTTTCAAAGCACCACTGAATACAAAGAAGCAGGCTCCAGTGACTGCAGGGAAAATACAAAGAGGAAAAATAATCACAACTTAGAACACAACTAATCTCAATCAGACAGGACCGGAGACATAACAGCAGACACTAAGATCAGGCAATAAGATGGATACAAACCAGACTGGCTGAGAGATAAAAGGACGCGTGATGAAATACGTGTTTCTGTGTCAGCACCTTTGCGAGGCTGGTGATGGATGCTGATGGCCTGCGTCTGGTAGTTCCCGTCGTCGTTCTGGACACACACCAAGTGGGAGTCGGCCCGGTCGTTGAAACACGCCCCCATGGCCAGCACGTGTTCGTTGGACTTGTTCATCGCCTTCATCATCTGCAAGGACAAATGATACCCATGTCTGATTAAGATGCCCTTTGGGAGTGTGAGCTGAGGAAAATGTGCTTAATACGGGCTGCCTGGTTAAGCCTTATTGCAGTGGGCTTGTGGGTAAAGTCATCGAGTTAAATGGGCGTAGAGATGACAGACGGACATTGACATGGGGGGGTATCAATAGCTGAAAGAGCCCACATAATAATTCTGCTAAATCCTCTGCGTCTCTCTGAAGCCGTCCTTTGCAAATCAGAAATAAAAACGGAAAATCTGGAGGGCTTTAACCACTTGTTGCACTGAAGGCTCGCCTGCAAGCTGTTGAGAAACGGTCCCTGCTTCACATTATAGGGTTCCCATCTGTTACTGCGTCAGCAGCCAAACGCTACAACCAGCACCGCTCTCTCCATCTTTCTTTTCTCGGCCAAATGGTGCTTTGTGCGTATCACGAACATTCATTCACACCTTAGAGGCAGCGGCGTTCTAACACGTCGGCAGCCCACGCCTCATGTTCAGCTGCAGGGACCCTGGAGAGTGTGTCACACATCACCTACGCAGTACGAACATGTGTGTGTGTGTGTGTGTGTGTGTTAATGATCGGGGAGCTTAACAGGAGCCTCTTCCACTGATGTCAGTGTGGTGGAAAAAATTATCTTTGACTCAAATGTGCAACCTGAGAAAGTAGAGCTGTTCCCTCCATATATACAATACAAATGTTTGATGTGGAAGGTTTGCAGTTTTAGGTAAGACAACAAACAAGATTGACAGGTGTGAAAGCTGTCAATCAAACTCTGGTGCGAACTAAACGACCGGACCAAGACCACATGAAAGGTCTCACGTCGCTTCTATTTGGACTCTGCTGAGGCTCCTTTGATGTTTGATGCAAGGCACTCACCTCATTGTAACGATTACTGGGGACCTTAATGCTCGTCTTCTTCACCTCCATGTCCACAACCAGACCTTTCACCACCGGTAGCGTGTACTGGTAGTTACGGAAATCCTGAGACAGGGACGGAGGAGAAAAAGAAAAAAAAAAAAGGTGAGGACAGAAAAACTGTATTTTTAATTATACGTCTGTGACGGACACTTAAATCAGAGCTCTTCAACCTTGAAAAGGAACAAAGACAGAAACAAAGCAACGTACTGCGAGCAGATTCATGATGGTGTGACCGGTCTCTCCAAAGAGGGGTTTTCTGAAGCGAACACTGAACAGAGGACACGGATAAACTGCAAAACAAAACGTTTCAGTTTAGATAAATCCACAGTAGAACTTTACTACTACTAACACGTTATCTTTCATTTCTAATGTCAAGGCTACTTATTTTTCATTCATTTAGTTCCTCAGCAACATGATGTCGGTTTGGAAACCTTGGTTAGAAAAAGTTACAGAAATGTGGTCACAGAAAGGGATGTTTTGATTATATATTAGTTCGATTTATTATTTATCCATTTTATCAGTATTTGTTCTGGTTATGTTTTTGGTTTTGTAGGCGTTTCTAGGTTTTATTCCATGTTTTTATTAACTGCGCAACTTGCGTTTCCTGTGTTTTCTATCCTGTTCACTCATAAATGCAAATGACCTAAAAGAGACCCCCCCCCACCCCCACACACACATCAAATACAGTGAACTGTGCCTGCAGTTAGGAGGAACATTCCTAATCCACAAGTGAAAAAGCAGGCTGCTTTTTTTCTCCAGCAACCAAAGCTCCATAGATTACTATTTTTAGACTTATCTCAGCAAAACAGCTGGAAATAAGATCTCGCCATCTCATTAGCAATAAAAAAAAAAACAATCTCGACCTCAATCTGCAGTTCAGCGGGGATCCGTACGCCGACGAACAACCCGAACACCTGCTGGTCACTGCTTAAGGTAAGAGGTGCCGGCGTAGAGAGCTACACCGTTTGTGTGGTGGATTAATTTCATGGTGACGGGAGCATTTTGTGTTTAACAAAGCCACATACAGTTGAGGCTCTTAATGTATTCCATCCAAGCTCGCTGGAAGCAGACAAGAGGCTTAACAGAGCCAGGCGGCGCTCCGTGCTAGCAGGTCTGGCTGTGAGGAAAGGGGATTTGGTGGAGATAAAACCCCTCACAAGACTTCCTGGTCCGTGTGGAAAGCTGTGAGTAATGTATACGAGCAGGCCGGGTTTCACGTCTACAGGCTTCATCTGACAATTGACATACTAAGCTCTCTAGATCAAGCTGGATCTTAATATTTTACCATAAGAACCCATCAAACACTCGCACGTAGAGCAATACTTGAATGCCCCCATCAGAAATGTGACATCACATCCTTTTTTTGGACACCGTTTGGGGAGATATTGTTGAGCGGGAGACTGATGTGACCATACTGCTCAGAAAAAAAGGAAATATGAACATCTACACTTCCTCGACTACTGGAGAAAAGAATTGTCTGCTTATGAAAATCATGTGATATGATGGAAAGCTCCAGAAGAACTACCAAATGGACTGAAATTGAATGTCAGTTTAAACTGTATATCAACACTTTGAAATAACCCATCACTATTGCTGTACTGTGTGAGCCCCAGAGGGCCTCTGCACTCACATCGGTACTCTGCGCCCAGCCGCAGCATGAGGCGGATGGGGAAGACCTTGGCCCAGGGCGTCTCCCACTTCTGCATCAGGATGCCGAAGAGGTACGGTGGGTTGGGCAGCAGCAGGTCCTGCAGCGACTGGAAGGAGGGGCTGATGTAGAGGAAACCGCCGTGCTCCTTACTGCCCAGGAAGCTCTGCGTGAAGAATGAGTGACTCAGGTGGCTCAGAACGTTGCCTTTAGGAGACGAGGAAGAAGGGGAGAGAGGTTAGTGATAAAGGAGATGCGAGGAGGAGGAGGGGTTGGTGGTGAAATAGGAGGGAGGAAGGCAGAGCCGGGAAGTGGGGGAGAAAAAAGTAAAGGCAGGGAAGGACATGAGATAGAAATGACAAAAATTAACACAAATGAAAACCAGGGGAGGAAAAAAAAAAAAAAGGGACAAACCAGTATCATCCTCTGAAGGGAGGCAAATGTAAAAGGCAGTGGCTCTTAGTGTTTACCTGGGATTACTGTGTGGATAAATACTCTTGCTTAGTCTGATTCAAGTTCTACATCAATGATTAAAAAGGTGTCTTGCCTGCTCGCCCTGCAGCCTCATATTACCAGAAGGGCTTCATGTTACTACTTATCTGCAGGAGGAATCGCTTGCTTTAGAGGCCACGTAACGCAATGGTGTCATGACAAAGCTCAGTGGCTGGGACTTGCTAAAGCCAGCGATTCTTCCCGAGACCTGACAGACCGCGAGTTAAATCAGAAATGACTCACACAATAAGGCTCCCTTCCTCCAGCCTGAAACTACCCCAGTGCGATTATGAAAAAAGGAAACAGCCTGAGGGGAGCGAGCCATCAAAGTCACACGATATTAGCCGATTTTGCTCCGCAGCATACGGAGCTTAAAAACGCACGATAAGCGTTGGTGAGGTGTCAAGCCTGGGGGGAGGCGACCTGACAGCAGGATGCTAATGTCTGCACCATTTTTCATGAAAAAGGCACAGACTCAATTCAGCAGCAGTGGACAGTAACCTTGTTTCCAAATAGAGGACGACAAGACGCCGTCTCTACGGAACAAAAAAGTAGAGCATGAGCATTTTCCCCATTATTCTACATTACTTTGGGGTTAGCTCTTTTTACACTGGGCAACACCTGACAGGTAGACTCACCTGTTGACAGAACTACTAATGAGCCGCTATCGTACGGTGGAGGTGGACGGATTTCACAGCGAGCCTCCCGGTGGAGCTGTTGGTTGAGTTCTTACCGCTGAGGGCCTCCTGGTAGAGTTGAACAAAGTGGGTGAAGACGTCTTTCGGGATGGTCTTCTCGTCAGGCAGACACTGGAGCAGAATGACCACCTCTGCCTGTCCGACGGCATGCATGCCCTTCGTCGTCACGTACCAACACTTCCTGTTTACATCTGTAAGTCGAAAAAAACAGAACACTAGTCTGTCACATAAGAATTATCCTGCTTGAACAAAGAGCATTACATTGCATGTCCGGTCCGTCTTTAAAGAAGTGTTCTTCCCTCTTGGAATGCTCAAAAAGCTTATATGTTAAATTTTTCATACCTGCTTAAGTACATGGATGAATAAATGAATACCCAGCAAAGCACTTTACATACAGCATGAGAGCTAATAGGGAATTAAGAGCGCCAACTTAACGTTGTGTAATTATATCCTTCACCACTGTTGCAGAGCAGATTATTCAATAGGCAGCAGAATTCACTAATAAATGAACAAATTACTCAGAAAACTTTTTACTCAGTAATTCACAGACAAAAGCTTAATAAGGCAAACATTCAAATGTATACAGTAAAATGTTTATATTCACTTTTCCTTAGACCATCATGAAATTGAAATTGTAAAAGGGAAGTTGACACTCTGCTCCTTACATTTTGACCGGCATTATCAAAATACTCACAGTTGACTAGCTTGACCATGGCGAGCAGGTTAGCGTTGAGCACGAAGACCAGGGGGTCCGGACTTCCCTCCTCCAGCTGCTGCATGAGGACGATCTCCGACGGCCTCTCCTCCACTGCATAGTCTGCCGGTGGGGTGGAGCACAAGAAGGAGAGGAGGGTGGAGGGAGGAGCCGAGGTAAAAGTTAGATAAACCGACAGGAAGAACTCGAGGATGAGAGCGGAGCGGAGATGTCGGAGTGAGGATGATAAAGGAGTCCCATGTGAGGTAAGAGAAGGAAATGATGATCAGACCTAGATGACGGAGACCCTCCAAATTATAACATCATTACTGCTTTCCCATGAACAAACCCCCCCACACCCCGTTGGCAATGAGTGGTGGAAACACGAGCAGTGATGCAGAGCACATGTAAAACACACTTAACAAGCACAAACACAGCAGCTGACAATGAGGAGGCAGCAGAATGGTGAGGATGAGGGCAAGCACCTGTGATGTGGCCTCCCGTACCTCCTTTGACGCCGGTGGAGATGAGGATGGGAGGGAGCCCGTCCTCCGGGATCAGACTGACGGAGCTGCCCACGGGGCTGCCCACCAGGGCAACAGGGGTGTGGGCTGCCTGGGGGTGGAGGGTGAGATGTAGGTCATAACATACAGTGAGAGGGTTTTCATGGCTGTGAAATAAATGTAGGTGCCATATCGCTTATGGTTAAAATACAGTTAAGCTGAACAAAAAGGTCAAGATAAATACAGCAGAGGCCAAATCCATCCTGACTTTTAGTTCCTAGTACAAGTGAAAGGTTGGATACAAATCGATAGCATGTTTTGTTAGACCCTCTATGTCTGATGAGCTTCTTTCATACTCCAAGAAACCGGTTTGTACTGCAAGCGTTCTGTTAGAAATGTGTCGGCTCCAAGACCTAAATGAGAACACTTGATGTCACATTTCTCAGATTTAAGAAGCTCTTCCGGAGCCACAAAAGACGTCATACAACTGTTTTCACTGTCACTATTTTTTTGTGGACTTCCCAAATGAGCCACACCCGAGTTAGAGTAAATTCAGACTACATTTTGGCTTGTGAAAACTCCCGAAGTCCCTTTTGTTTGGTACATTATAAGTTGCTAAACCATGAAAACTGTTTAAAAAAAGCACAGTAGGAGCCCCTGTGTATCAATGACTCCCCACTATGCCACTGTTATTAGTATAGAAGGCACTTCACTGTGAGCGAAAGCTTTGGCAGTAAAATCAAATCCATGCGTTCCTGAGTTCATGCCAGTATGTGAAAGTCTGATTTTATACCCAAATTGTGTTTGCATTGCATCATCTGGCCGTCGGAGATGAAGCCATTTAAAAGCTTCAACAATGATTCTGTTCAACAGGCCATGAATCATCCTGAGTGGTGGCATTCAAGTCCAATGAGTGTACAAGCAGCACGGCCACTGAAACCACCAGATTCAACTCGCTGCTCTGTTATTTGTTGTGGGACAAACGTGGACGTATTTCCTTTAAGCGTTTCGGTCTACTGGGTTTTCTAATTCTGATTAAGCAAGCAAGGAATGTTTCCTTTAAACTCCCTGCAGTCTGTGACTTAGCCAGCAAACCACCAAGAATCCCACAGAAAGGAGTTCTTTGTGGCTTCAGAGTAGCTAATACGACCGTAACAAGCTCTCCTAATAGCATTAGCTGTGGGTGAATGTTCTTTCGTGCCGAGCCTACCTCTGAGGATTCAGAAGTGGAGGATTTGTTTGAATACGTGGAGATAGCCAGCGACTGTGAGGGGGCTGAGCTGGAGGTTGGGAGTTTGGGGGACTCTGCTGTGTCTCCGTTAGGTAGCACCCCATCAGCAAACCACACCCTCCTCTGCTCCCGTGTCAGGGTCCCTAAAAAGGTGAGAGAACCACAGTGAAACACCACAAAAGGTTATGTAAATAAAAATGTACGTAAGCAAAAGAGGACAGAATGACACCGTAAAAAATAAATCGCTAAGAGCATTTTTATTCTCGGTAAAGGTTGTACCCTCGTTGCCAGCCTGTTTCAGGACTCCCACAGGCACCATGACGGTGGGAGGAGGGGAGCTGAGCACCCCAGAGGCCTGGGCCTGCTGCAAGGGGGGGATGGTGGAGCAGTACTCCGCTGGGTTGTTTGGGTTCGGACTTTGGTTGCTTCCAGTGGCCGGCGTCTCCCACGATTGAGCTGACAGAGACAGAAAACACTGTTATCTGTTAAGACAAAGACTTCTTTCTTCGGCAGACAATTGGAGTATATATATACATATATACATATATATATACATACATATACATACATATACATATATATACATACATACATATATATACATATACATATATATATATATATATATATACATACATGCATATACATACATATACACATATATATATATATACATATACATATACATACATATACATATACACATACATATATACATATACATATATATACATATATACATATATACATACATATACATATA